CAAATAGACACAGAGTTTATGTGTCTTATGTTTTGTCTGCTATTATGCCATGAATTGAATGCCAATTATCACTGATTTAATGGCTGATTGTGTGGATGTGGTTGCAGTCAGACGTGGATGAGTTCATGGGTCGCACGGGAAACGATGACACCTCACAGGTGTTGAAACAGTTGGACGAATCGCACACTAAATACCGGTTTATGGAGCAGAACCTCATGCAGAAGAAGCGCAGACTCAAGAAACAGATCCCAGACATCGAGACGTCCATCGATGTCCTCAAACTCGTCAAACATAAACGGGTGAACCATTTGATCTCATTTTTGGTAATGAATTGGTTTTTAATGTTTGTGTCGATAATTAGGATAATAAGGAGGAAACGGAGACACAGTTTATGCTCTCAGATCAGGTGTACATGAAGTCCACGATACCGGCCACTGATAAGGTGTGCCTTTGGTTAGGGGTGAGTGTCATATCGTACTACCCGTCCACTCAATCTTAGCAAACTTATGTGATAATGATTGCATGGCATGTATTGTGATCTTAAAGGCAAACGTGATGCTCGAGTACACCATCCAAGAGGCGGAACAGCTGCTGAAAAAGAACTTCGAGACCGCCAACAAGAATCTGCAGCAAATCGACACCGACTTAGACTTCTTGAGAGATCAGATCACGACCACTGAAGTAAATATGGCTAGAGTTTACAATTGGGACGTGAAAAAGCGACAGTCCCTCAAGAGTAGTACCGGTGCCGTAGCCACTACGGCTGCTACCAGTGCCTGAGAGTAGTGTAGTTGTCGTTTAGGCTTTCAATTATCTGTCAAACCATTTGTGAGATACTAAACACCTGTCCCCTGAAATTCTTTGTCAATTATCACGAGTTTGTGTTTTTAATTAACATATTTTTTGGTCATTTAATAAATTGTTTCATTAATACTTAAGACATTATAACCGGAATTCTCATAACATTTATGAAAAATGATTTGTCAATTGATTTCTTAAATTAAGACATGATTTATATATTTTTAATATACGAATTGAGTTTTGTTTTTAATATATAAACTGTTAATTTGTTTATTAAGACAACGATTAAAGCCTTATTTATTTGTTGATTATCAGTGACGAGTAAATTACACAATAAATGAGCAATTTTTAGTTTATTTCCAAATATTTTCGCTTTTGTTTTGCAATCAATTATTAAATTTTAATTGATTAGCATTTTGTTTGTTTAGAAATCTATGCACATTGATATAGTCTAGACTCGGGATCAATAACTATTCAAATACTAATTAAATTTAAAATAATTGCTCTAAAAATATGTTTTGCTATGAATGTACGGTAATAAAGTTTTTATATTCATTTTTGAAATAAAATAAATTTTTAATCAAATTCTGCTTTTGAATACAGATTTTACTTTTGTTTGTTTGCAAAAGTTTTATGAAATAAATTGTTTTTTATTAAAAAGCAATTTCCTACCAAATATGTAAGTCTAATGTTTGATAAACATCCACAAGCAAATAGATTTAGTACGATACTTGCCCTTGGTTGTTCAAACTATCAGCATTATATGCACTTTTTAATCGTTTACTTATTAGTGCAGAATTATAAGTTCATACATCTATAGGTTACTCCTAATTAATATTGAATATTAATTACCGGTACTAACATTAGTTTACTAAATTTAACATTAATAGAAAAATAGTTTGGTAAATTATGTCAATAAATTTTTTGGTATTTTTTAAAAACCAAATATGTCATACTTTAATGTACAATGATGTATTTTATAGCTAGTATGTGTTGTAGCTTGCAATTAATTGTTCCTGACATTAGTTGTTTAGGATAATTGATATAAAACCTCTCGAAAAGTCTAAATTTATAGCTATTTTTATCGATAAGATATATTCTGTAACTCAAAGTCAAAACCTAAGCGTCTGATTGTGTAATAAATTTCGCGGTATTTATGCAACAAATCAATCAATAATTTTTATACACATAAAACATAAAAGTGTTTAAATTCTGTTCACTATATATCCATTGCTAAGCATTTTCGTTGAATAAAGCGAACAAAAATTGACTCAAAATATATTTCATTTCTTATATATATTATTGATTTTGTATTTACTTTTAGAGCAAAAATGTTTTTATGTTTATTTAAACTTCAGAAATCAATTTGTTATGTTTGACACTTTGGTAAACTATTTTTATATCTACAGTAAATATAAGTCCAGTGCAAATAGTCCGGTCAATATAGTCTATACAGTATCGTAAATTGATGTTTCTACGTAACATCCAGGTGCCCATATACAGTATGCACATTGATAGTAAGGCACAGGCAGATGAGCTAACAATTTACTATTTAATTACTTTACTATTAACTAGTGTGACTAATTATGTACCTGGCTGTACTAATTCAAGTCATTGCTATCGTTCACGAACAGGATTTCAGACATTTATTGAAAACAAAAGTTTTTGTACTTTAAGTTCATAACTCTGAACACCCGTCCCCTTCCCTCCCATTCCCAATCAATTGCTTACAATTACTGCAAACCCACTAAAATAAGTGCAAAATATTTAATTATGATAACAATTCACAGGTATTGACACAGTATGTGCTTACAGGGAATGGACAGGGATGCCAAGAATATACACAGAATCTGTTAATACAAGCAATTCTTGTATACTAAACACCCGACTATTAACCCCTACAATCACCCCAACACACATCCCTACCCCCTATCGCACAACTGATCCTAAGTTTCCGAAAACGGACAGTCAGTCTCAGTCCAAGAGATATTCAGTGGTGTTGTGGACCTACCAGTGCTGTGAGAGACTCGTGACGCCAGCGGCAAAGGGGAGGGACGGGGAGCCTATGGATAGGCAAAGCGATTGCGTTATGAAAATCAGATGACTCTCACTGTCGGAGTCAATACAATAACACACAAAACGATTGCATTTTAAACAACACTTGAACTACACTTTCATTGTATTCACAGTTTTTTTTCGGACAGATTTTTAACGTATTAATGGTTTTTAATTTTTGCGTCAATTTTAACATAACATGTGTCGACAACAACACCAATATGTGATGATATCTACGCTCATGAGTGGTGTCTTAGAGGCTGTCATATGTTGTGGTGATTATTATCCGTGAGATAATGACCGCCGAAGACGTGTTTAGTTATTGTCTATTGATTGCAATGAATATGTGTTTTGTATTATGAATACCAATACTATTAACGCATATAATCAGTGATAATGTAATATAATGTGTGAAAATAAGCCATAAATTAATTGATTACATAACAAATCGACTTCATATGTGATATATTAGTGTTCATACAACTCAACTGGATCAATAAATTGAAAGTGATCAGGGTTTTTAGGTGTATATTATAAAATATTTAAGTTATATAACTAGGCGTTAGTGATAATAAATCGACTTCATATGTGATATATTAGTGTTCATACAACTCAACTGGATCAATAAATTGAAAGTGATCAGGGTTTTTAGGTGTATATTATAAAATATTTAAGTTATATAACTAGGCGTTAGTGATAACACAATGGGTTTTATGACTCAATTGCGGCTATTATTGTGGAAAAACTTTACGTTAAAAAAGCGAAAACCGGTATTCAATTGAATATATTATATAATAGTGTATAATATTTAATACTATATTTTTCTGATCCCTTTCCCCATTGCCTGGACACACGGATAGCATGTACTGATTTGCGAGCTGTTCCTACCATTAGTACTATTCTTCATACTATGGGTCATCCGCCACAACCAGCCCTCCCAGTTCATCGGCGACTGTGAGTATACATTCATTTGCATACCCGTCCACTTTAGATGTATATCTCTCAGTGTCTATGACCTCTTAGGCTATTATTCTGTTGATTACGTTCTGGTCATTATAAACATGGTTTATAATATATCATTGAATTTTTATATAGTTTAGTTTTGTTTTATGAGCCCTTACTATAAGACATGTATAGTTATTACAATTAATAGTATTGTAATTATTATATTTATAAATACCAAGCTACGTTTGTGCATTTAAAAGCATGTGTTTTAAATCGACTTCATATGTGATATATTAGTGTTCATACAACTCAACTGGATCAATAAATTGAAAGTGATCAGGGTTTTTAGGTGTATATTATAAAATATTTAAGTTATATAACTAGGCGTTAGTGATAAGACAATGGGTTTTATGACTCAATTGCGGCTATTATTGTGGAAAAACTTTACGTTAAAAAAGCGAAAACCGGTATTCAATTGAATATATTATATAATAGTGTATAATATTTAATGCTATATTTTTCTGATCCCTTTCCCCATTGCCTGGCCACACGGATAGCATGTACTGATTTGCGAGCTGTTCCTACCATTAGTACTATTCTTCATACTATGGGTCATCCGCCACAACCAGCCCTCGCAGTTCATCGGCGACTGTGAGTATACATTCATTTGCATACCCGTCCACTTTAGATGTATATCTCTCAGTGTCTATGACCTCTTAGCTATTATTCTGTTGATTATGTTCTGGTCATTATAAACATGGTTTATAATATATCATTCAATTGTTATATAGTTTAGTTTTGTTTTATGAGCCCTTACTATAAGACATGTATAGTTATTACAATTAATAGTATTGTAATTATTATATTTATAAATACCAAGCTACGTTTGTGCATTTAAAAGCATGTGTTTATAAATTTGAGTAAATACTTTTATTAATCTATAGATGAGTTTATTAATGGACTATTAATTAATGAGATTTTCATGTACAGAATATAACTGTTATTAATATCTGTAATACAAAGTTCAGTATTTCACTGTAAATAAATACATTGACAATATATACAATGTCTTAAGATTTTACGGTTTAATATATTGAGATTTATTTACCACTATTTGTCCTCAAATTGAAATTAATATTTGAGTGAATTGTTTGTTTGATTTATAGTCTATTTATAGTACAGTATAATACAAAGACATGAGATTCTGTTGTCAAGCTATAGGAGAAAGCATATTTCATAATACAATTTTTGAATAACGGTATTGATTATCATTCTCTCTCTCTCTCTCTCTCTCTCTCTCTCTTTCCACTCATTCTCTATTCAAATAGTGTACTAATTTATATTACAACATCCACTGTATTATAAAGATTTTTCTCATATATTACAAAATACCTGATTATAAAAGTTAATTAAACTTTAAATTGTATTATTATTTATCGCACAGAATATTCTACAAATAGATTGAATGTGTGAATCTCTATATAATATAGACTTGAGTTGAATCAGACCTTTATAGCTATTTTTGTTGCTATTTTTAACATCTCAAATGAAAAGATTTCTTATTCTGTCATTAAATTAATAGTCTTTTTAATATGAAATTTGTCGCAAAAAACTCATTTGTAGTGCAAATTAGGAAATTTTCTTTTCATTAGACGTTTTACGTGGAGAGAGAGAGAATGTAGATTTCTTATTCTGTCATTAAATTAATAGTCTTTTTAATATGAAATTTGTCGCAAAAAACTCATTTGTAGTGCAAATTAGGAATTTTTCTTTTCATTAGACGTTTTACGTGGAGAGAGAGAGAATGCAATTATATTTAAAAGGCTTTCATAATATCTTAATACTATTAATATAATGTCTTTTCGTACTGAATGCGACGAAATCAACACAAATGTTATGTTTATTTCAGCGCAAAAGGCAAAAGTGTCGTACAAACACTCATTGAGTATATATAATATGATATATTTATAAATGTCAGACAAAATATGAGCTAAATTTAGATTTTTATATTACGATTTTCTGAATACTTATGTCACAAGATTTAGGGATTTTGGACTATAATTGCAATTTTATTTATGTAAATAAAGTGAATATTATTTTCTTATATACTGTATACGGTATATATATTCGGCATTACCAACAATATTATGAAACATTATTCATTATAAATATAATATTTAGATCTACTGATGCTATAAATTATATAATATGTCATAATTTTTTTTGTTGAATGAAAGTCATGTAAAATTAAGGCATATTAACAGTACGTGTATTATATATGAATATTCCTGAATGTCTTAATATGCAAAATGTTATTTATTTAAGACTTTTTTAATCATATATTTGTTTGAGTTTTCTAATCGTTTTCAAGTCATGTATTTGAATGTTTGGATTACTGTCATTAATAACATTATCATATGTTTTATAAATTTTCAAATAATTATTCATGTCAGCAAATACAGTATTAGTGACTAAATAATCCAGAATTTATATTTTATTTTCTCATAACTTTATAATTATTCATATGTATTGAATATAAATTAGTTTTTTCCCCGATACTAATCAAACATATTGAGAATTGTATAAAACTGTTTTGTGTGCCAAATATTTTTCTAAATTATCATTTGTATGAAACCATAGAAACTTATTTTTAAAAATTTTTATTATCTATTTTAATTTTGTGGATGCAAAATATGTGTATTTGTCGGAAATACATGTCAAACACATTTTTGATCTCTGATATTCATTTTCATTTTTCCCATTATTTGTGTTCAACCGTCAAATCTTTGTATGAAATGTTGATTTTAATGGAAAATAACTGGATTGTGATTCAATTGTTTGTCCAAAATATCAAATGTCTATTCAAATGACACTCAAAACTATCGTGATTTCCATTCACTTCCAGTCCATTTATCAGCCTTTCCCCTCCTATCGTCTGTGTGTGTATTGAATTCCCATATAATTATGTTTTGTGATGTTTTCCATACATTGTATTTATTTCTATGTATAGAACTTAAGACAAACACATAATAATAAGACTCACATTTATTTTTACTTTAATATACCAAGAATATTCTATTATTATTCCTATGGGGAGTGAGAATGAATCAATTCTTACCGGAATATTCTCATTATATTACGAGAGAGTCAATAAATTCTTGTCATGAATAACAGGCAATATATTAATTCTCGGACTATAATTATATACATGTTATTATTATTATTATTATTATTGTGATTAAATTGTAGTAGATTATGCATATTTATTCACATTGGTCTACTTATGTAATGCATTTCTTATGCATTGTTATAATAAATGTCAGATTTAATGACAATGTTTTTAATCAAATTATATTTTTATATATGAATCATGTTTGCCATTATTGTCGAGAATAATGAAAAATTTTGTTTCAATATTTTGATGTTTAAATGCAAACACTGAACACTGAATGCAGTTTTTCTTATTCATGTAATTGTTTGGCTCTGTATTTATTATAGTTATGTCTTATCTAATATAAATCATTATTGTACAGAATATATTACTTTATAATGATTTATGACTTCCTATTTATTAGGTGGGTGTTCGGTAGCGCCGGTTGTATAATAATAATAATGCCGCCTTTTTGTTTTATTATTATATTTTTATTTTTATAGACCTTTTATCAGAAAACCATTATTCAATATATTTATACATTTTCTTGTTATCATAATATGCAGTAAAACAACAAAATATTTATTATAATGACTTAATACATATTTCTTATACTTATTGTACAGTACAATATACTGTAGTACAGTATTAGTTTCAAATAAAGTATACTAATTTTTATATGAATTATGATTTTCACTATTGAAATGTTGTATTTGGCTATATGTTAACTGTTAGACTTAAACAATGATAAATTGCATCTTATTAGGAACTAGTTAATAGTTAATTCTAAGTTATATGACTTTTATATAATTTATATTACTTATTTTTACTATTCGTTATAAAATTATAAATATTCTCTATTTTCATATTACCGTTAACTCTCATTTAATTTGAAATCTTATGCAAAAATATTTAAATATATTTTAAGCCCTTTTTTAGTTAAATATTTACTGAATAATTAGAATTTTCACTAATGTATAACCAAATAGTCAAAAGTTGTTTACGATTTTAGATGGATTTTAAGTCATATTTTTAAAATTATAATCATGTTAATGTTTTATATACTAATTTTAGTTGAGACACTTTTATGTAATATGAAATAAGTTTTTATTTTTATTATATTGAATTATGATAAACAAAATTATATTTTCATGTTATTTGAAGTGTATTTTAATCGATAAAATATAGCGTATGGAGAATGCCATACAAATGGGAATTCTCACTCAATCAGTCTCTCTCTCTCTCTCTCTCTCTCTATGATAAACAAAATTATATTTTCATGTTATTTGAAGTGTATTTTAATCGATAAAATATAGCGTATGGAGAATGCCATACAAATGGGAATTCTCACTCAATCAGTCTCTCTCTCTCTCTCTCTCTCTCTCTCTCTCTTCACTACTTCTATACAATTATAATATTAATCAAATCTAAAATATATTATTAAATGCAATTTTTACACTTGAGATAACAATATATTATTTATAAGTTATGTACGAAAATGAATTTTTTGTACTTTAATTAACTTTAATAATTTATGTATTTATGGAAATTAATAAATTGGCAAATGTATTATAATGAAATAAAATATTATTATTTTTGCTATTAGCAAAACATATTCTATATAATCAATGAAAAGTTATTTAAAATAATTTTCTAATACATTAAAAATTATTCTTAAATACAGTACCGAAACTAATTTAATATGTAATATAACACATCATTAATACTAACCTCCCGTCCCTTTTCCAGTGGCCTTCTCAACCAAACCGCTGCCCAGCGCCGGCCTAATGGCTGTATTGCAATCATTCTGTGATGGAGGGGTCAGGGATGAGGACGGTTTCGACACCTTTCCCAACTCGACGTAAATAATCGGCACATAAATCCAAAAGAAAACCCATTTTTAACTCATATCCCATACCATAGACTCGAGAAATTGCTGCGAAATCTCAATGACATCGCGCGTAAGAAAAACTTCATAATCCGTCCGGGCTTTGAGCCCAAGGAGTTGGAGTCCATCCCCCGGATCTACAAGTCCATCATCGAGGACCCCATTGCCATACACTCGCACTTCCTGAGGGCCGGCAGCTTTCACATCAAAGACATGTTCAAAGATAGCGCACAATTCGGCGCATACCTCAAGCGCGCCGACTATTTGCGGTTATCGGACCAACAGGTGTCGGCGCTGTTTGAGACGGGACTCAATATGCAGAAAATACACGACACCCTCTTCGGCATAGAGGCGCTCATACCTAATGGACAGCCGTTCAGTTTATACGACTTCATGAAACTGAATGAATTGCATAAATCCAAAGTATTTATGGCTTTTGCCTGGATTTTCGACGTCTATAACAAGGGAGGGCTGACCGTCAATGTCGACGCCTTCACCAAAGAGGCCGTCGATATACTCATCACCAAAGAGTCGGTCAAAGCGTTCTTTTGCCTCAACGATACCAGTCCTCTGGTGTCGCCTTTTTTTAGGCCCCCAAACGACACGTATGTCCACCACTTTGAGTCCATATCCCATGAATTGTGCGCCAATTTGACGGACAGTCACCTCAAGACACTGACCGGTGAGATACGGCGCAACTTCAACGAGACTAAGATTACGGAACTGTTGACAAAGGACTGGGACTATGGGAAAGCCAAGCGTCGGATCAATCAGTTCTTCGGCGATCTCAACAAGTTTGCGATCTTTGAGTTGACGCTCAAAGAGTTGTCACAAATAGCCGTCTCGTTGCCCAATGATGTCTGCAAAATGGAGAACTCGACCACTAATGGCACCGGCGATGCCTACCCAACGTCCGACACCCTATTGGACGGTCTCAATGTGACAGACAGTCAGTCATCGGAAGAGGACCAACAAAGTCAGAAGAAGAAGAACAACATCGAGGGTTTGGTTCGCGTGTTCCTGAAGATGCAAAAGACTATCTGCGGTCCAAAATCGGCACAAAAAGTGGACAAAAAGCACGACAACTCGACAGATCCGGACCATAAGAGCGGTGACGAGGACTCGGATGACGAGCCGGTGAACCAATTCATTAAAGACCAACAGATTCTGCTGAATATGTTGTACTCGAATCCGAAGATCTTGTTCGCACCGAACGGGACGTCATCGGCGGCCTATAAGATCATACAGCGGGCGAACCAGACGTTTGAATTGCTGGACAAAGTGACAAACTATGCGCACATCCTGTTGAACGTGTCGCAGGAGATCGAGGACTACCTGTCCCTCAATGAGACGCAGCGCCAGTTCGAGACCGTCCGCAAGATTCGCGAAGATATACTCCATTTGCCAAAAATATTCCGGTTCTTGGATTTGGCGCACGGCTTGGAACTGCTGAACCGGTCCATCAGTATTGGTGGCGATTTGGAGACGTTTAAGGAGGAGCTCCGACTCATACACAACGCCGCCTGCAGTTGGCTCTCCCTTACCAAAGATATATCGCTGAATGTCTTCCATGGCTTCAAATCCGAAGACGATTTGCTGCACTACTTCCAGAAGAGGGCCTATTTTGACAACGTGACTGTTTTGGCCAGTAAGTGGTGTTGTGTTGCCTACCGGTGCTCTTGAATAGGATATTAATTATCGTATTTTTTACCTACAGGTGTGATATTTGACACGAACTCGACATCATTACCGCCGCACATAACGTACAAAATCCGCCAAAACGCTACCTTAACCTCCACGACGGCACAGATAAGGGACAGGTTCTGGTCGCCCGGCCCTCGCAATTGGGGCTATTCTTACTACGGCTTCGGCTTTGTGTGGATTCAGGATATACTCGAACGGGCGATGATTAGCCTACAGACTGGCAAAGATGTGTCTGAGCCCGGCTCATACCTACACCAGTTCCCATACCCGTGCCATATAGCCGACCAGTAAGTGATTGAAATTTTTAACCTCTAATTTAATATTGATTTACTATGTGTTTGACACCCAACCCCCTGCCCTCCTTCCCAATAGGTTTCTGTTCATCATAGAGCACGTGATGCCCCTCTGTATGGCCATCTCATGGGTGTACTCCGTGTCGATGTTAGTCCAGTCCGTGGTCTACGAGAAGGAGCAGCGACTCAAAGAGGTGATGAAGACTATGGGTCTCAACTCACTGGTCCACTGGTTGGCCTGGTTTATCACCTCATTCCTCCAGATGTCCATCACAGCAGTCGTGTTGACAGTGATACTCAAATATGGACTCGTGTTGACCTACTCTAACCCGGTGCTCATATTCTTCTACATCGAGATCTTTGTCATCGCAAACATTGTCTTCTCGTAAGTTTTTTTAGTGTCCAATAAAAGTAATTAAAACTTTTGGTGCCAATGATAATACAATTGTATGTTTCATCGATGTCCAGGTTCTTAATATCAGTGCTGTACTCGAAGGCCAAGTTGGCCGCCGCGTGCGCCGGCATTATCTACTTCTTAACGTACGTCCCGTGTATGTACTTAGCGGTCAGAGAGGAGACGGCTCACGACAAGATACCCTTTTGGGCCAAAACGCTGGCCTCACTCCTGTCCACCACAGCGTTCGGAATGGGAGCCAAGTATTTCGCTTTCTATGAGGAGGTGGGGGTAGGGGTCCAGTGGTCTAACATCGCCACCTCACCCGTAGAGGACGACGAGTTCACGCTCTGGAATGTCATGAATATGATGGTATTGGACGCCCTCCTGTACGGCACCCTTGTCTGGTACATTGAGAACGTACACCCGGGGTCGTACGGACTGCCCAGACCCTGGTACTTCCCTTTCACGAAGAGCTATTGGTTGGGAACACCCATTGGTGACGACGACCTGTTCTGCTCGTGGAATATAAAGTCAAAACAGTTGAGCGCCGAACACAAGAAGACCAGATCCCGGCCCCCGTCCGAGTCCATCAACTTAAACGACTTGATTTACTTCGAGTCCGAGCCCCTGGACCTGATGCTCGGCGTCTCTATACTGAATCTGGTTAAGGTATGTGTCCATACATACCATTCCTATTGTTTTACTATATAGTGAAACGAGAATATTCTTGAATTAAATTCTGTATTTGTTTTGTGAATAGCGTTATACGAATACGAAAGGAGTCCCTCCGGCCGTCAATAAGCTATCGGTGAACTTATACGAGAGTCAGATCACGTGCTTTTTGGGACATAACGGCGCCGGCAAAACCACAACTATGTCTATACTAACCGGTCTATTCCCGCCCACGTCTGGCGAGACACACATCTATGGGTTGGACATTAAGACAGATATGGATGTCATACGACAGTCGATGGGTATCTGTCCTCAACATAACGTCCTCTTCGATGAGCTGACAGTGGAAGAGCACCTGTGGTTCTACTCGCGTCTTAAGGACGCCAACGGGGGAAATGGAGGCGACTTTGAGGAGAACATCAACAAAATGATAAGCGATCTCTCGTTACCCATACGTCGCGGCAAAACAGTGGAGAGTCTGAGCGGAGGTATGAAACGCAAGCTATCGGTGGCCATAGCCTTCATCGGCGACTCCAAAGTGGTTATACTCGACGAGCCGACCGCTGGTGTCGATCCCTATACCAGGTATTCGTTGATATTCTTAAGCCATTCTGGTATACAGTACTCAATATTCTGTTGTTGTTTGGGATACAGGCGCGCCATTTGGGACTTAATACTGAAGTATAAGAAAACGCGAACAATACTACTGTCCACTCATCACATGGACGAAGCGGACGTACTTTCCGACCGGATCGCCATCCTATCCAATGGTCAGATCAAGTGCTGCGGAAGTCCGCTATTTTTGAAACACAATTTAGGCGAAGGCTATCACCTGATATTCGTCAAGAACCCCGACTACCGTACCCACTACACGGCCGACATGGAGGTGCCGTCGCTTGAAGTGCAGACATTTGTGCAGAAATACGCGCCAACCAGCAAATACCTCTTCGAGACCAGGGATGAGATCCACTTTATTCTGCCAAACGTTGAGCTCAAGAACTTCGTGCGTCTGTTCTCAGCCCTCGAAAACCCCCGAAACCTCTGCGCTCTCAATGTCCAGACATTTGGCCTCAAGAACACCACTCTTGAGGAGATATTCCTGAAGGTGGCGTCCAATTGGAACTTCAATGTCCTGAAGACTACTTTCCAACAGAACCATAAGCGCACCCATAGCTGGGACAAGCCGTCTACCAGTGCCGCGTCTGCCAGTGCCAGCACTCACCCATCGGTCATCACATACGACACGGGCTTCAAAGTGGAGCACAGGGAGCACCTGAAGATGCCCACAGAGAAGGTGGACTGCAAGCGCCGACTACTGATGAACCAGTTCTCGGCCATACTATTCAAGCGGTGGTGCTGTACGAAACGCAACTGGAAGGGCCTGTTCTCGCAGATACTGCTCCCGGCGTTCTTCGTGTGCGTGGCTATGAGTGTGGCACTCATTGCACCCAAATCTCAAGATCTCCCGGCGCTCACACTCAGTCCCGCACTGTATTATAATTACACGCAACACTTGGGTGGCACTGTTATGCCGTATTGCGAGCGGGACTGGGATCCTAAAAAAGAGGGAACGGGTGGTCATAATATGCACAATATATCGGCGACTTTCCACTTGCCGTCCGGTGTGGGCGCCACCTGTCTGTTGAAGTCGAGGGACAGTATTGCCGAAAATTACACCGAATTAAGTGATTATGAGTTGGTGTCCGAGTACCTCAAACTGGACAGCGCCTGTACATCAGTACTACTGCCCGGGATTAAGCCGCGTATATTCCTGCCGGTGGCGCCCACCTCGCGGTCGCCCACAGCCACTACAACCGTCAAACCTCACGACATGGATGTGATATCAAACACTACAGAACCGACACCTACTCCAGATTACTTAGACTACTACCCGTACTGCCAGTGCTCGGCCGACGGCACCGGCTATATATGCGACGCCTCGGGTTTCCTGTGGCCACCGGCGCTCAAACTGATCACTGGAGACATACTGCTGGACATTACAGGTGTGGGAAAGGGTCACGAGGAACACCTGTACTACATCACCACCACCGACATGTATCGGCTCCGACGGTACGGCGCCTTTACGTTCGGTTTACATAGGGATTACATACCGGAGCGGTTCGCCGAGAAAGTGGACGAAGACGTGGAGAAGATCTTACGGCAGATAGCGGTGAGGAATGTGTCGAAAGTGTGGTTCAACAACAAGGGCTACCACTCGATGCCCACCTACTTGAATGTCATGAATAACGCCATACTGAGGGAACACCTAAACAAATCTCAGGGCAATCCGGCCGCGTATGGCATAACACTGATCAATCACCCGATGGTGGACACGTCATACACCCTGTCCCAGGAGCAGATACTGCAGGGCACCGACGTGTTGATCGCCATATTCATCATAGTAGCCATGTCCTTTGTACCTGCCTCATTCGTACTGTTCCTGGTGTACGAGCGGTTCACGAAAGCCAAACACTTGCAGTTTGTGTCCGGCGTTAATGTCATCGTCTACTGGACGGCCAACTACTTCTGGGATATGGTATGACTTATTGATAAACCTTTCCTATTGATAAACTTAGTATTTGATTATCTCTTTTCTCATACCAGTGCTCGTATGTGGTGCCGGCCATGTGTTGTATCCTAATTTTGCTCATCTTCGACATCCCCGCCTACACCTCGAAGAATAACTTTCCGGCAGTTGTGTCGCTGTTCTTGATGTACGGCTGGTCTGTTACACCAGTCATGTATCCGGTGTCGTTCCTCTTTGAAGAACCCTCCACTGCCTATATCTGTCTCATTGTCATCAACCTCTTCGTTGGCATCACGTGTATTGTCACGTCATTCCTGTTGGAGGCCTTCCTCTTCTCGTCATACGTTCCGGTCAGACATCTCTCTCTCTCTCCTCTCTCTCTCTCTCTCTCTCACTCACTCACTCACACTCTCATTGAATGATTTGATAATTGATTTCATTTCCAAACGTCCAGTACTTGGCATACATTCACCGCATACTGAAAGCCGTATTCCTAATGTTTCCCAACTATTGTTTGGGCAGAGGTTTGATGGATATAGCGTTCAATGAATACCAAAACATATACCTCTATAAGACAGGTATGTTATCCCACCTCTCATTCAAAAAACAAAATTTCTAATTTTGTGTCCATTTATAGGCCAATACTCTCAGATGAGGTCTCCGTTCGCGTGGGATCTGATAACCCGTAATCTGATTGCAATGCTTTGCAGCGGTTTTGCGTTTTTCATAATAACCCTATTGTGTGAATACAATGTGTTTCGGCTTTTGGGCTGTAAGCGTAAGGACCGGCACCAGTCGTACCGGACGGCCGCCCACGTGGACGAGGATCAGGACGTGGCGCAGGAGAGGCTACGGGTGCTGTCGACCGGCAACGACCCCCAGAATGTGTTGCGAATGCGAGAGTTGACCAAAGTTTTCAAGAAACCCCAGAAACACATGGCTGTGAACGGGCTGTGTCTGGACGTGACTCGCGGCGAGTGCTTCGGACTGTTGGGCGTCAACGGGGCGGGCAAGTCGACCACCTTTAAGATGCTGACCGGAGATATACCGGTGACCAGTGGTGACGCCATTATTAACCAGTTTTCGGTGCGCGAGGACCTGCATAGGGCTCAGCAAAACATCGGATACTGTCCTCAGTTTGACGCCCTGTTTGACGAGTTGACGGCCAGAGAGCACCTGAAGTTTTACGCCCGACTCAGGGGTGTTAAGGACGAGGAACTGGCTATTGAGACGGTGCTCAGGCGAGTGGAGTTGACGGCGTTTGC